TATCTATCTGCCTATCTCTATCTCTCTATCTGATCTGTCTCTATACATATCTTCTCATCTATCTCTCATCCTCTATGCCTGCCTCTATCTTATCTATCTGCCTATCTCTATCTCTCTATCTGATCTGCCTATATATATCTTCTCATCTATCTCTCTCATCCTCTACGTCTGCCTCTTATCTGTCTGCCTATCTATCTGCTCTCTCTCTCTTTCTATTCATTCTATCCATCCATTCATCCTTCTACCTGTATCTCTCCTATATTGTATCTATTTTTATCTCTTCTGTCCATCCCTGTGTGAACGGATGCAAATTATTCATATGTTAAGATGTGTATACCCATACACAGACACATATATGTGCATGCTTATGGCTTACATGTATTACTATTTTGTTAAATTTATATTTACTGACACACACACACACACACACACACACACACACACACACACATTTGTCAGTAAATATAAATTTAACACAAAATAATTTGTCGTGAAAGCGACTGCCTGAGGGCCCCTGGATTGGGGCTGAAAGGTGAAAACCTATATGTATATGTATATATTTGGGTTTTAATATTTTTATTTTAAATGTTTTTATAATGTTTTTTTAAATGCATTGTAAGCCGCCCTGAGTCTCCGGAGAAAGGCGGCATATAAATTGAACTAAATAAATAAAAATAAATAAATATGTGTGTGTGTGTGTGTGTGTGTATAGATAGATAGAAGATAGATAGATGATAGATTAGATAGATAGATAGATGATATAGTACATAGATTAGATAGATGATAGATAGAAGATAGATGATAGATTAGATTGATGATACATAGAAGATAGATTAGATTAGATAATGATAGAAGATAGATTAGATAGAGATAGAAGATATATAGATTAGATAGAGGATAGATTAGATATAGATGATAGATAGAAGATAGATGATAGATTAGATAGATGATAGATAGAAGATAGATTAGATAGATGATAGAAAAGATAGATTAGATAGATAGAAGATATAGATTGATAGATGATAGATAGAAGATATAGATTAGATAGAAGATAGATGATAGATTAGATAGATGATAGATAGAAAATAGATAGATGATATAGTACATAGATTAGATCTATCTTCTATCTTCTATCTATATCTAATCTGATATAGATAGAAGATAGAAGATAGATTGATAGATGATAGAAGATATAGATTAGATAGATAGATGATAGATTAGATAGATATAGATGATAGAAGATAGATAGAAAAGATAGATTAGATAGATAGAAGATATAGATTGATAGATGATAGATAGAAGATATAGATTAGATAGATAGAAGATAGATTGATAGATGATAGATAGATATAGATTAGATAGAAGATAGATGATAGATTAGATAGATAAGATGATAGATAGAAAATAGATGATATAGTACATAGATTAGATAGATTAGATATAGATAGAAGATAGATTGATAGATGATAGAAGATATAGATTAGATAGATGATAGATAGAAGATATAGATGATAGATAGAAGATAGATAGAAAAGATAGATTAGATAGATGGAAGATATAGATTAGATAGATTGATAGATGATAAGATAGAGGATATAGATTAGATAGAAAATAGATAGATGATATAGATAGATAAGATAGATGATAGATAGGTAGGTACAGATAGACAAATAGATAGATATAGATATATCTCTGCCTAGGCACAGTGTACATAACGTCTATAGAAGCCCACGCGCACACTCCCTATGCACAGACTTCTCCCTAATCCAGAGGCCACATGGACCACGGGCAGCCTTCTTTCCCGCCCGCCCTTCCAGGCTCTCCGGCCGAGGCCCTGACTGGCGTTTCCCCCTCAGGGCGTCGAAGGAAGCTGAGGAGAAAAAAAAAAAAAAAAGCGGAGGCCCGAGAGGCGGGGTCGCCGTCGGGGTTTCCCGGCCGCGGCCGCAGGGGCGGGGCCCGCGCGTGCGCGCCGGGCGGGAACGCCCTCCTCCCTCCCCTCTTCACTCCCTCACTCACCCCCGCCCGCCTGTTTGCCTGCCTGCCTGCCTGCCTGCCGCGCCCAGGCGAGACGCCGTTGCCTCCTCACTCGGGTGGTGTTTTTTTTTTTTTTTTCTCCTTTCGGTATTCCCCTCCCTCAACCTTTCTCGCGCGCGGCTGTTCCGGCTGTTCGTCTTCTCCCCCCCCCTCACTCACCCGCCCTTCCCTCCCTCCGGACGGACGACGACCGTGAGGAGGACTGCGCGCGCGACCGACAGACAGACCGGACGGACGTTCCTCGTCCCCCCCCTCCTCCGAACGTGCCCGCCCGAGCGTCTTTCTCCTCAGCGGGGCTCCCCTTTCTCTCGTCGTCTCTCTTTTTTTTTTTTCCCCCCTCTCTCTTTTTCTCTGTTTCTCTATTACCCCCCCCCGCCCGCCCGCCTGCCCGCGCGCGGTGTAGTTGCGGTGGTTGCTGCGGCCGCCGCCCTCGTTTTTTTTTTTTTTTCCCCGGCGGGGGTCTCGGCCGGGGACAGCGGCCTTCTCGGCCTCCCGGCTGGTCCCCCACCCCACCCCGCCACCCTTCTTCTTCTTCTTCGGCGGGGAAGGCGATAAGGCGCCGCTGAGGCGGAAGGGGAGCGCGGGAGAAGGTCGCCCGCGGCCGGGCAGCCGGGCCGGCGGGGCGACGGGGGCGCCTGAGGAGAAAGAAGAGGAAGAGAGGAGGAGGAAGAAGAAGAAGAGAGAGGCCGCCCAGGAAGGTGAGACTGGGAAGGAGGGGGAGGTTTGACAGAGCTTCCCATCCATATAGCTTCCTCTTTCCCCCTCCCAGACCCAATTTCCCCCCTCCCCCTCTCAGTCTGCCCTCATCCATCCATACTATTTCTCTCCCTTGCCCAGACCCCATCCCTCCCCCCTCAGTCTGCCCTCATCCCATCCCACCTAATATCCCCTCTTGCTCCCAGACCCCAATTCCCTCCCCCTCTAATGCCCTCCCCATCCTCCCCCCCCCCACCCCCTCTGTCCTCCCCCTCCCTCCCATGCCCCCAGCCCCAATTTCCCCCCTCAGTGTGCCCTCCCCCCATCCCATAATCCCCTCCTGCTCCAGCCCCAATTCTCCCTCTCCCCCCTCAGTCTGCCCCATCCATCCCATATCCTTGCCCCAGCCCACTTTCCCCCTCAGTGTGCCCTCACCCATCCCTAATATCCTCTCTTGCTCCCAGACCCCAATTTCCCCCCTCAGTGTGCCCTCACCATCCCATAATATTCCTCCTCTTGCTCCCAGACCCCAATTTCCCCTTCCCCCTCTCAGTCTGCCCTCATCCATCCATAATATCCCCCTTGCTCCCAGACCCCAATTTCCCCCCTCATGTGCCCTCACCATCCATAATATCCCTCCTCTTGCTCCCAGACCCCAATTTCCCCCCTCATGCCCTCACCCATCCCATATTCCTCCTCTTGCTCCCAGACCCCAATTTCCCTCCCTCCCTCAAGGCAGGAGTGCTCCCTCCCCCCCTCAGTCTGCCCCAACCCATCCCATAATAACCCTTCCCCCCCACTATTCATTCCTCTCCCCCCCCTCTCTGGAAATCCCTAATAATCTCCCAGCCAGGCTCAAAAATGTTAGCCGCCCCTTTTGCCCCCCAATTCTAGCCCCCCTCCTCCTCCTTCCCTCCTTCTTTTCCTCCTCCCCCAATTTGAACCCACAATGAACCCCTTTCTCTTCCCCCTCCCCCCTTTGAATCCAGGCACTGCATCTCTGGCAGTCCCCCTCCCCAAATCTCTCAAATGCTTCCTGGGAAAATAATAATAATAATAATTATTATTATTATTATGACAGTATACACAGCAAACGAATGACCATGCTGGATTTTGTATCCCAAATCACTAGTCGAACACTTCCCAAGCATATTATTATTATTATTATTATTATTATTATTATTATTATTATATTATTATTATTATGTTGATACCTAGGATGCTGATAGCAACCTGTATCAACCATTAGCACCAGTCAAGGGTATTTGTGATGCATTTTTGAATGTTCAGTTGACCGAGTTTCATGTTTAATGAATAAAGATTAATAATAATAATAATGATAATTATAATAATAATAATAGTAATAATAGTCCTCCTCCTCCTCCTCCAGGGTTATTTATTTTTTTTTTGCTCTGGTTCAATCCACCTCTCTTCCCCTCTAACCCCTGTCCCCCAAAGCCCCCCTCACATTGAAATGCAAGCTGGATTAATTTCAATGAATCAATTGTTTTCCCTCTTTATCTCCAAAATGCAACTCTTCCCCCTCAAAAAAAAAACCTAAATCATGCTTGGCTCAGTTTAGCATCTAGGCTGATATTCGACTGTAATATATTTAATATATCAGATGCTAATCTATGGACTAAAGCCTGGAATGAAATCAGTCTATCTGTCTGTCTGTCTGTCTTGTCTATCTATCTATCTATCTATCTATCTATCTATCTATCTATCTATCTATCTATCTATCTATCTATCTATGGACTAAAGCATGGACTAAATATATGGACTAAAGCCCCCCCCCATCCCATGACTGCCTCCCCTAGATCTGATCAAGACCTATAACTAGGGACCCCTTTTCCTCCTCCCCATCTTTTGCCCCCCCCTCCCTCCCAAAGACCCCAAACCTTCCCCCTCCCCCAACTATCCACCCGAATTAATCATTTCATTTCTTGATTTTTAACGGGACTTCAATCCGTTCCTCTTCCATCCTGCCCTTTGATTTTTTTTAAATTATTTTTTGGGGCCTTGTCCTTCTTTCTGGAGAGGGCGTCTCCTTATGGAAATCCACCAGTTGTCCATCCCTCCCCCCCCTTTTCCCTTTTAGCCAAATCATGCTCCCCTTATTTTATTTTATTGTATTGTATTGTATTTTATTTTATTTTATTCTACCCAGGCTCCCTTCTCCTTCAGGCCCACCTCCCCTTCCCAACCCCGAGATATTGTCTTCTTTCATTTTTATTCCCTCTTCCTTTTTTTTTTTTTAAAGCCTCCCTCCCTCCCTCCTCCCTGGGTGACTAAAATGTTCTTCCTTTCTCTTCTCCTTCCTCCCCCCTCCTTTCCTGTTTTCCCTTCTTCTCTGGCCCGCCACCATGTCTTTCCCTCCCTTCTCCCTTTGGCCATTTTTCTCTCTCCCCCTCTCCGCTACTTCTGCTTTTCTTCCCCTTTTTCAAATCCTCTTTCCCCACCAAACACACACAGCCTTTCTCTAACCGGTTCCCCTCCATTTTGCTCTCTCCTCCCGAAATCTCAGAAATGTGGTCCTCTCTTTTCCCTTCTTTTGGTCTAGGGAGGGGTGAGTGGAAAAGAAGCCCAACCTTTTTATTTATTTTTTTTTCCCCTCCCCAGATTGCTGACATAGGGAAATCAAAGAAATCTACACCGCCCAGCCGCCCCCTTTTTTCATTGTCTTCATCATCACTGTCCCACCCATTTTAGCAGCATCAGGAAAAGGGGAGTTTTTCCTTGTAGGCAGAGATAGGAGGGGGGGGGAAGAGGGAGGGTCTTTTCTGGCCCCTGAAAAGGCAGGAAAAGTGGGAAGGAAAAGGTGCCAAACCACAGAGAGGGGAAGAAGAAGAAGAAGGGAAAAAAGATACGCTTGAAAGAAATTTTCCAGAGTATTATGTGCATTTGGTATAATGGTGGAAGATTGCTTGCTTGAAAGGAACTGAAACCAGGGCACCGGTCTTAAGTTTTGGCTTGAAGGAAGGGCTTAAACAGAAAAATGAAAATTTTGCTGCTTCCTCTCTTCCCATGGTAGGAAAAAAAAATGCTTTGTGGGGCACAGAGGGGTGAGAAACAGCGAGGATGGTTTTTTGTTGTTGCTGTTGTTGTCTTGTGCAATTTTGGCTGTCTTTAAATCCTTGTTTAAAGTTGCTTCTCTGTTTTGATAGGCGTTGTGTAATTTATTTTTGCCATCAATGTTTCAGCTCTTTGTGGTTGCTAAGGGGATGTGGAAGGATCGTATGTTTTTTTTTAAGCTTTTCTTTTTTTTTTAAGTAGCAGTGCAAATTAAGGAAGGTGGCTTTGGGAGGGGTAACAGGGTCTTTTTTTTTTTTAAAAGCTCTTTAAAATGAGGGGAGGGGAGAAAAAAAGGCTGTGAGTTTTGCATGGTTTTAAAGAAAGGGTAAATCTGAAGGAAAAAACAGGGTTTCTTTAGTAAAGCGCCGAAAAAGAGAAAAATGAGAATGATCTACAGCCCCTTTTCCAGGCTGCCCATTTGTCATTTCTGACAATTAGCTAAAATTTTAATGTGTGTGATTCTTTTCACCACCATCTCTTTATGTAAAAAAGATGAGAATCCTAGGATTGCCTCTTCCGCTGCTTTAGACATGCAAATGTTTCTTTTGCCAATTTTTTTTTTTTTAAAGAAAAGCCTTCCTGGGGGGGGGAAAAAATGGGAGCCAGCAGGTGGCTGGCTGCTTTTCGGGATCCAGAGGTGGGAAGGAAACCTAGAAACACCCCCCCCTCAATCGAACCCCCAATTCCTTCTTTTCTTCCTGGGTCTTTTGAGTGTGCAACCCGAAAGCAGGCTGTGACACTTTTTGTGATGCTTTCCTGACCAGCCACCACCGTTGCTGCCTTTCACACACACACACACACATGAAAATGCAGACAAAACCGATCTCATCTTAGCCTGCCTTCTCCCTTTCTGTGATTTATTTTTATTTTTTGAGAGGAAGAATCAAACAATATTTTGGTCACTGCACATCAGGAAGGAGTGTTGCTTTCACATGCCCTCACCCAGTTTTTTTTTGTTTTTGTTTTTCTTTCTTTCTTTCTTTTCTTTCTCCCCCATTTTTTTTCTTTTTTTCTTTTCTGGAAATGAATGGATGTTTTGTGTGCTTGGAACCGGGGAACTGCAACAAGATGGCGTTTGCAGGAAACATCTCTCTTCTGCGTTTTGCAACTCCCCGGCATCTCGCTGCTTTTCGCTGAGCTTCAATCTCGCAGCTGGAAAGAGCTTTCTTTAACTTCGATTTCCCTCCCCCATCATTGACAGATACTGCTTTGATGGGGAATTGACAAATGCTCTGCTTTGGTTTGGTTTGGTTTTTTTAAAAAAAAACTTTCGTTTTTTCCCTCCTCCTACTTTTCTGTTAGCCATGGGGTGGGTGGAGTAGTTGATTAAAATTGTTACAGACTGGATAAGAGATCAAAGGATGAAGGAAGGTAGGAAGATTAGACCTAAGTATCCCTTTTACAAAAAAAAGGTTCTCATTATTTATTTGTTAAAGGTTACCTTGGTTTTGTGTAAACCAAAGGGTAGAATTTGCACATCTGTAAAATACTGAATTTTTGCCCTTGGCCAGTACGTGTCAGTTTCTGTAAACAGCAGTTTACCTGAAATTATTTCATAAAATAAATATTCTGTAAGTAAAAATCTTGTTTTGGTCACTTTTTCCCCAAATGATACCTGATCTGTTGCTTTATTGGGAAAACATTGAACTCAGTGGGTCTTATCTGTTTAAAATAAAGCCCAAATTGAACAGAGTTTAAACAAAAAATTATTCCAAAAATATTCTGCATTTTTCCTTACAGTTTAACTGAAGATTGGGTTTATAATGCTGTCCTGAATACTTTGGAAGTATGACAGTTGGCATGAAAATGATAGTCTTAATTTAAAAATCGAACTATTACAATTGTATGGGTTGTATTCCCAGCCTATATCTGAAGACTCATTAATACAAAATAAATGTTTACTTAGTAAACCTAAATCCTGAACTTTTAATAGTGCTGTAGCCAAAATACTGAACAATCAGCAAAGGCAAAACTCATCTAATTGAAACAATATAAACAAAAGCAATGGACTATTTTTTTTTTAAAAAAAAGAAGGCTTTAAATAATCAAGCATTTCTGGAATAATTTAGATATGGTTGAATATTTTATTGTACTTTGATTTCCTGTTTAAATAGGAAACAGCTTAGACATGTGTTAACACAGCTTTTAATGACATAAACAATTTTCAAATTCAGTTAACCAAATATTTTACCGTAGGTTGTAAAACGTTATGGACCAGTAGGAGAGAAAAAATGATCAAAAACTTCTTTTATTAGATTTGAGTTTGGAATCAGGTTTACTTTTCAGGGCCTGTTTCTTTTCCTCTCCAGTACTTTGTGATTAAGGTGCACTTTGCATTGTCATTAAATACAATGTCTTGCATACATATCTTCGTATTTTCTATCCTGTTTTTTGCCATGTAGGCCCAGGCACAACCTAATATGAAGCTTTGTAGGTCCCCAGATGTTATGCATTGTAGACTTTCCTCCTATTGATTTTTGTAGCTGTTTGGTCAGCTTGCAGCAAGCAGTGTCCCAACATACAATTGTGTACAATTGCCTGTGTTAGAAACCTTAAAATCTAATCGAATGATGCTTTGCATCAGAATGTTGTCCCTGTAACCTAATGGGTCCGAATTGTGCTAGATAAAAAGGGGAAAGCAAGAGAGTCGGTTGGGTACATTTTTGAGAGATGGGACTAAATCAACATTAAATAGGCTGTGTGGTTTATTCTGCTGGCCAGTCCTTCCCTTTAAGGGGTGACAGCTGACAGTTAGCAATCAGCTTTGTGAAACACCAGGAAGTTAGTTCCTCATTGCATGAATAGCAAACGTCCCCGGAAAATATGATTTTTTTTTTTCAAGCTCCGTAGAGCCAGAGGAAGAGATTGTGACTACTTTTTCAGACGGATTTAGAACTTGGGTTTGTAAAAATAGCCTGTTCTTGAGAAGCCTGATTCGTCTCGATTACTATATAATGCAATTGGCTTCATTAGTGCAATTGGTTTCCTTAATAATGCCCCCCCTCCCCAATTTCTCTCTCTCTGTGTCCCTCCTTGTGAGAACTTTTTTTTGGCCAAATAGTCAGGCTTCTCCAAAGCCCTGTAGATTTCCTTGCCTGTCTGTTTCAATTGGCTCAGATTTCAGTCCCTGAATAGGATTAAATTCTTACTGTCCATGGATTTTGGCTTTGCTTTAATGGATTGGTAATTGATATTCTCAATTTTAATATCCAGATGTAGCTGTGTGGCGTTCTGGGTACTGCTAATGCTGGCCTGAGAGAGAGAGAGAGGGGTGGTGGTGAGAAAAGACGATAGATAATCTGGGATAGCAGTTACGATTTTTGCAGGAGAAAAGTGGGGGGGGGGGTCACAGAATCCTCCATATTATTCACTCCACCAGGAAGTAAAAGGGATAATGAGAATTAAAGAGGCATGTGCTTCAGAGTCATTATCTTGAGAACATTTTGAAACAACTTCAGAGTGGCTGGCTTTTAATATTTTGAGCGTTGAGTTGTTTTTATGTGGGTACTACTGAAGTGGTTATTACAAGTGGATTCTAAATAGAAGGGCAGTAGGCAACAGGAAGGGAAGGAAGGAAAAAGAGGGAATGAAGGAGAAAGGGGAAGGGAAGGAGAAAGGAAGGTGGGAAAGCGGGGAAAGGAGAAGAAAGGAAGGAAGGAGAAAGGGAGAAAGGAAGGGATGGAAAGGGAGGGAGGAGAAAGGAAAGAAGGGAAAGGGAAGGAGAAAGCAAGAAAGGAGAAAGGAAGGAAAGGGAGGGAGAAAGGAAGGAAAGGGGAAAGGGAAAGAGAAAGAAAGGAAGGAAGAAAAGAAAGGGAGGGAGAGAGGTAGGAAGGAAGGAGATACGAATAAAGGAAGGGAGTAAGGAAAAGAGAGGGGGAGAAAAATGATAGAGGCAGACAGGAAGGAAAATAAATGTGTGGTAATTCAGGAGAGGCTTTGTTGAAAGACAAAATCCCCAAATGAATTTCTTGGATGATAAAAAGATCAAAATCCCGACTGGCACAAAGACAAAGCCTACAATTATCAATAAGAAAAGTCTCCTATTAGAAGAGAATAATGCGACTAGAGATTTAAGAGAAAGGGGGGGAAAAAACTGCCGTTGGATTTTATTTCCCTAAACTTGAAGGCCTGTTCAGGATCATAGCATTGTATAAGCTTCAAGCCCAACTCTGTCATGGTGGCCCAAATGATGATGATGATTGTCTAGGGCGGTGTTTCTCTCCACCCCCCCCCCCCCCGGCCACTTGAAGACCTGTGGGACTTCAACTCCCAGAATTCCCCGGGGGCTAGGGAGGAATTCTGGGAATCGAAGTCCCCGCACGGCTTCAAGGGGCGCTCAAAAGATTGAGAAACAACAAAAGGAGCTTCTTCTCGAATAGCTGCAGCTGCGAAATTGGGACCGAGGTAATAAAATGAAGATGACAACAATTTGCCATTTTGTCTTGAGTGTAGGCTGAGCTCATGATGATTTCCTGGCTTCTTGGAATCACTGCTCTTTTGAAAGGAAGCAAAGATAATTTCTCTGCGGCTGCGGAGAAAGAAGAGAGGAGTGGATTGAGAGTCTCTTTTGGCCTTTTTTTTTTTTAAAGCAACCGTGCATTTGGCTGGCAGCAACCCCATTCCAACCCACACACACACACATATACACACACACACACACACACACACACACACACACACACACACTTCACTTCTCTAGTAAAACCCCCATCTCATTTTCCTTTGTTGGGCCAGCTGGCAATTTTTTTTTTTTTTTGAAGACGTAAACTAGGGAAATAACTAACTTGGGAGCCTTCCCTGCGATGAAATTCGAGGCCTGCCAGGCTGGGGAATTCTGGGAGTTGAAGTCCACACATCTTCAAGCTTGCCATGGTTGAGAAACGCTGGGAAAAATAATTCCAATTCCTAGGGCAGAATTTATAGAATTCCTGTTAGTTGTTTGGTCATCTGAGCCT